AGAGAGAGAGAGAGAGAGAGAGAGAAAGAGAGGGGAAGAAAAGGAAGAAAGGAAGAAAAAAAGGTAAGAGGGAAGGAAAGAGTTCGAGAGTTTGCGTGGATGGATGGAGTGGACAGGTGTGAGTGTTTCACCTGTCGTCGCCATCGCTCGACTTTTTTCCCCCTTAGCCTCTTCCGCAAAACGAACGGCGACGAGCCGAAAAGGGAAAGCGGCACGCGAGAAACCCTTTGAAAAATTATCATCCCGAGCGGAACGTTCGCATAATGCCTTTATTTTTCAAACTGTCGCTCAATATTCGCGCGATTCTCCTTTTTTCCAACGAAGAAACTGGCTGCTTCTTTCCTCCTCCTCCTCCTCCTCCTCTTCTTTTTCTTCTTCTTTTCGACATCGCGCGAGCATACGTAATTACGAGCTTTACACCCGTAATATAACGTCGGATAAGACGGAAAAATTCCATCGATTCGAGTATCGTATTTTCCTCGGTTCAGAAATATTTCGAGAATCCGGCCACGATTCGACTATTTCTCGCCAACGAAAGAGAGTAAAACAGATATCCCGGAATTTGTTATTATCGCGACGAATATTTTTATTCGCGATTTTACTCCGCCTTTTTATTTACGACGCTTAAAAGGAACGTACGCTTCGTCCTTTCTTCGCCGTCTCTTCTCCCGTCTGTTTTATATAATTGAAAATTCGCGTTGAACGAAAATAAAAGAGAAAAAGGTCGTCGTGTTACGGAAGATGGTCCGTTAAACGGGATCGGGCCTCGATTTTTTCCACCTCTGAACCCGCGGCAAAACGAGAAAAAGACGACGCGTTTCCGCCCTCGTGATCATCATCGTTTTACACGGCGTGTATAAACAATAACGCGTTTAAAAGAAACGCGGGGAAACGAACGATTCCGTTTGGAGGAACGATGCTCGATGTTCTTTTTATGAACCGTGGTGCAGCGACGGTGGACGGGTTTGACGCGTGACGTTCGTTCTCGAATCTCGCGAATAGACCATTCACAAATGACCTGAATTTAGAGAATACGTATTTTTGCGACGCAGTCCGGTGTAAAGGGAGATAAAGCAGCTTGATGAAAGTGTGTATGGGAGCGGGCGCGGAACGGAGCGCCAAGCTTTAATTTTTAATCGCGCAATCAAGCACGGTTATCGGCTTCGCGCACGCACAATAGTTCGTTCGAGGTTACAATTAACGCGCCGTTATCCGTATGATACGACGATCGAAGCGAGCGCGCGAGCTCGGTGAATTAACGCCACCGCGGAGGCGAGAAATTTTTCAGGAGGGCCAATTTGAAAAGAGCGTTTCGAGGATGGACCGCTCTCGATCGTTCTTTGGGCAAAATGTGACAATTCGTAACGATTGTTCTGAGTTATTTATGCTTTGGATATGTTTAAAGTATCTCCTCCTTCAACTCGATAGATTATTATTCTTTCTCTCTCTTTCAGTTTTTAGCTTTCGAGTATTATTATATATACGAATACCGACGGAGTTGATGAGCGGGCGATAAAATTGATCAACGATTTATAAACTACAGGGGCAAATAAATACATAGTTGGAAAATGGAGAGGGAGAGAAAAAATCTTGATGGAATTCTTCGGTAATTTGTGCGAAGTTTGTTAACGAAAACGTCACCGTGGAGGAGAGACATTTTTCAGGAGGGCCAATTTGAAAAGAGCGTTTCGAGGATGGATCGCTCGATCGTCCTTTGGACGCAAAATTCGTAACGATTCGTCGTTGATATTTTGCCGAAGTATTCCATTGTTCTACGAGTTATTTATACATTGGATATTTTTTTAAAAGTATCTCCTCCTTCAACTCGATAGATTATTATTCTTTCTTTTTCTTTCAGTTTTTAACTTTCGAGCATTATTATACGAATACCGACGGAGTTGATGAGCGGGCGATAAAAGGAAAATGAAAAGTTGATCAACGATTGGTTTATAAATTACAGGGACAAGTAAATACAAATAATAGTTGGAAAATGGGGAGAGAAAAAATCTTGATGGAATTCGTCGGTAATTTGTGCGAAGTTTGTTAACGAAAACGTTACCGCGAAGGCGAGAAATTTTTCAGGAGGGTCAATTTGTGAAAAGAGCGTTTTGAGGATGGATCGCTCGATCGTCCTTTGGGCAAATTCATAACGATTGTTTTGAGTTATTTATGCTTTGGATATTTTTAAAAGTATCTCTTCCTTCAACTCGATAGATTATTATTCTCTCTCTCTTTCAGTTTTTAGCTTTCGAGCATTATTATACGAATATCGACGGAGTTGATGAAATAAAACGAGAATGAAAAGTTGATCAACGATTTATAAACTACAGGGGCAAATAAATACATAGTTGGAAAATGGGAAGGGAGAGAAAAAATCTTGATGGAATTCGTCGGTAATTTGTGCGAAATTTGTTAACAAAAATGTAATGCAAATTTTATGAATCGGTCGATCGGCCGACGCCAGTGGAATTTCGCGCGACACGATATTCGTCGAGGCTGTAAAATTCCACAGCGGTTCGTACCGATCGAAAATTCCACGTTCAAAGTCCGATCGTCCGTCGTGTCGTCGGATACCGTTCAAATTAGTTTGTTTCGAAAAGAGGGGGGAAGATGGATCGATCGATCGATAGATCGAACGTCGTCTTGGAATTGGCTCGAATGAAAAGTGACGATTATATCTCGTTCGCGTTGAAAAAAAAAGTGTACGTCGCGTCGCAACGTTTGGAAACGACTACCAACTTTCCAGACGAGCTAACGAATTAAATAAATGTCGAAGCGCGGTTAATTGGACGGTTTGCTCGAAAACAGGTGATAACCGATACCTCTCGAACTCTGAAGTTGAAATTTTTATAAATAACACGATTAACGTTTTGGTGGTCAAAAGAAAACAAAGATAAGGAAAACGAAAAGAAAAGAACAAAGAGAGGAAGGATCGCAGGGGAGCACGGCGTATACACGGAAGAAAAGAGGCAAAAAAGGGGGGAAGAGGTGGGGGAAACTTTTAAATGAAATTCCTCGAGAATAAGCGAAACTCGTTCATCCCTTTATATCGAAGCGAAGGAGGATGCGTGTCGATTTGCACACACGTTCACCGAGGCAGGAACAGAAGGATTCCTGTTTAGAAAGCGGCAGAGTTCGTATTTCGTTAGCTCGGCACGGGCGAAACGTCGTCGTCTGCGGAATGTTAAGGCGACGACGACGCTTTAGATACGAGAGAATAGAACTAGAACTAGAACTAGACCGAGGGAAAACGATCTTTTGTATTCTTTAATATTTCTTCTTTTTTTCGCTGTTGGATGCTCGCTGGTTCAATGCCTTCCGCTGATATCCCCTTATCTAAACCCGAGTTTCCGTACCAACGAGTTTCCTCGCCTTTTATTTTACCAAACCTTCTCCACCCAGAATCCTATAATTTTCCAGACGCTTTATCA